GGAGCAGGATACTTATTGATATGAAAAGCCAAGGTTCTCAAACCACCAAAGGTACAATCCTTGTTCTTAGAAAAGACATCTACTAGACCAGCTGATAAAATTTAATTGACAATTTTTACAACATTAATTAGTATGTCAGTCAATGGTTCCCTGTTTCATCCATCCCTGATCTGGATATCAGAACTATATTTGGGTCACAGAGTTTAGTAGAGTGCCTTCTTTCTCTATTATTGGAAACAATTTTTACAACAAAGCTATTAATTATATTACACACACACACACACACACACACACACACACACACACACTCCCCCTCAATTAAATCTATCCTTGTAATTTTTTTTTTTGCTTAGGCAATTGGGGTTAAATGACTTGCCCAGGGTCACACAGCTAGTAAGTGTCAAGTGTCTGAAGCTGGATTTGAACTCATGTCCTCCTGACTCCAGAGCCAGAGTTCTATCCACTGCACCACCTAGCTGCTCCTATCCTTATAATTTTTATCAATAACTTGTGTATCACATTTTTGGATGGCATAAAGCCGGATGGAATTGTTAACACATTTGACAGCAGAATCAGGATGTAAAGAAGATCTTTATAGTCACAGGAATAATCCAATTATAGCCAGTGGGACAATATAAGAATATAATAAAATAAGAACCCTTGCACTAAGAAAACACTTGTCTAATAGACCACTAGATAAATAACTCACAGGCAGCTAATAAGGGCTAAGAAGGGGCTAAGAAAATAAATCTAGGTCCAAACACAGGCACAGGTATGGGCCTGCTGCAGGAAAATAAGCCAGACAATGTCAAAGGGCAGGAACAACCCACAGCCACATGTTTTCCTCAGCTTCTGACTGAATAAATTAATATTCTGTGGATGTTTTAGCCACAGCCCATCTCTGCCCAACTCCAAAAGCCCCCAACCCAAGCCCATTTAGTTTAATAAGTGGAAGCAAATAGCTCATGCAGCAGCACTGAGAGAAAATACAGGAAGGGTACTGGGTTTTCTTCTCATTTATATTTACTGGCCAGGCCCTTACACTTGCTAATACGCCCAGGCCCACTTTTATGTGTGTGAATAAGACTAAATGAGGACATAGCTTTACCTGTGACCAAGAGGATTACAACACTCTTCATTTTATTTTTATTTGAGTTTGCAAAGAAAATACATAGGAGTGGTGAGAGTGAAGAGGAGTCTTATTTTTATAGAACTCTCTTGGTTCTAAGATTCAATAAGGATCATGGGTAATGTCAATATGAACCATTCCAGTTGTAGTACATAGGTTGGACAATCAGTGGTGTTGGCTGGGGGTTTTATAGGGTCACTGGACTGCAAGGAGGAAAGCACTATGGAAAATTCAAAATAATAACCTTATGAAACTAGATAAAAACAGAGCACAAAGGTTGGTGGCCAGGGCCATAAACTCTGAAACAGAATCTGAAAGTCAACAGGGCAATGGCTAATGGTTAGAAGAGAATTCTCGGGAGCTTTGGGTTTTGGTAGCCATGAGTGGCTGCTGGCAATGGTTGCTCTGACAGCTGCCTTTACTGCCTATTAACATATTTCAATTCAGCCAACTTTCTCCACCCTGTCCCAATGGGCCAGCTATTATGAATTTTAAAGGGCCCTACTTACCTTGGTGACCTTGGAAATTTAGCATAAGAATTTCATTGGAAGACCAGAAGTAGCCTCTGCCACTTGCCATTTGTATGAACTTTGCAAAGCAAGCCACTTAACATCCCTGGATCTCTGCCAGTGAGCATGAGAAAGTTATTTGACCATCTTATTTATGAAATTAAGATAATAATACCTATAGTACTGATGTCACAGGGTTGTTGTAATGATCAAATAAGAAAATGTATACAAAGCACTTTCCAAAAATTAAACTACATCACTGTAAATTATTATTATTCTGGTGGATATCATCCTTATCCAAAAAATATTAGAGGATTTGAGTAACCAAGGAGCCTGGGACCCAGATTCCTCAGCCTTTTCATCACTCTAGTCATCCATTGAAGATTGGGTAACTTGACTCGTGGGGCTGGATCATAGGGAACCTAACAAATATAAAAGTGCTTTTTTTTTTTAACCATTCAACTTTACATGTTCTGACAGTGTGCCAACTAAGGTTAATTCCCTCCTCCCGGATTCTTGTCTTAATTAAGAAATATTTATTGCGCTTCTACAATATGTGAAAGATGGTCAGATTGTAGAGCTGCAATGAAATGAAAAGTTAGTGTTGTATCGTAAAAAGAACACTGGATTTGAAATTAACAGACTTTCCTTCAGAATCCCTCATCTGTTACTTATTAGCCTGGTGAACATAGAAAGAACATGACGTCAGAAGAACTGTTTCTTCCAGTTGCTACCTGTGTGATTCTGGGCAAATCATCTCACCTCTCTGGGTCTTAATTTCTTCCTGTACCAAATAAAGGGATTGTCCTAGTAGACTTAAGTGCCTCCCAGCTCTAAATTCTGTGACTATGACAGGGTCCCTATCTTTAATACAATATCTTAATATCTCAACTTAAGGTTCACAACTCCAGGTCAGCAAAAACCATGGCTTCATAATGGAGAGCTTAAATAATGACAAAATTTCAGAGTTAGAAGGGACCTCAATAGTGATCCAGTACAATCCATACCTGAAGAAGTAAATCTATATCTATATACATACATATATATGTATGTATGTAAAATTATTCTACGTGTATAGAATAATTTTACATATATATCTATTTGTGTCTAATGGTAGCCATCTCTAGGGTGGTGAGAAGGGAAGAAAAAAATTTACATGACAACTGGAGGGAATAGCAAGTTGTACATTGCAGATTTGCAGTTTCATGTGCAATCATCTTTTTTATTGTACTATGTCATGGAAAGACTTACTTTGTTCTGTGAATTGAAAATAAAATCAATTTTTAAAAAATCATCATGTTGATTTACATAGGTTCCATATTAGAGAATTTTACAAATATTAAATGCCTCAGCTTCTCTGGAAGATCTCTTTAATTGCAGAACTGTTGAGAGGCCAATTAGCAGGTTTTTCCCCCCTAAACAAGACCATTCACTAATGTACAATTATAGGCGTGAAACCCTTATTATTAGGTTAGATTTTGAGTTAGTAAATTTGTTTTTGCACCACAAGATGTAATTAAAAGAATGGGGGAAAGAGGGTGGAGGTGATTAGGAAAGGTTAAAAGATTTAGGATTGTGTAGTTTAGAAGCAAGAAGACAGGGAATAACTTAATCATTTATAATAGAAACGGAGGGCTATTGAGAGAAATTTGAAATGAAATTCTATTGTTGATTACTAGGACCTTCAAGAGCCTTCAGAGCAGCCATCATCATAGGCTGCCATAAGATGACAACCATGCAAGTCATCTGCTCCCTCAAGATTGACTTCAACCAATATATTAGCTTGCCTCCTTTTTAACTACAGTTCCCTTCCACATAAAGAGGGTTAGGGACACAATGCCCCCACAATCTGGAAAATCCACATAAAGTGTTTTGGCCCTTTCTTCATACCAGAAAAGTCTGAATTGTTATGGTTTTAAAAGATAAAATATGTTGATATTATGCAATACTATACATATGCTTGATGCATTTCTGAGTTTCTAAACTTTTCTGTGTTGTCTATCGGCCTTTATGTGTCATCTGCGGCTTCCACAAAAATCCCCCCAAATTCCCATTTAATTTCTTATGCCAACCTACAATATATTGAAAACTTGTTGGGGAAAGTCACAATGTGGAAGGGATAACTGTAGATGCAAAATGGTCACCTAACCTATGAAAACTGGCCACCATCTGGAATGGCTGCTCAGATAAGATTCAATGGGCAGAAAGTACAAGGGATTATTTTTCCAACTTCAGTCTCGAAAGGATACTGGATATTTCCTGAAGAATGTAATCAACAATCATGATTGATTAAAGTACACTATACCTGCTGATCTATAACACATACCTAGAAGTGGTTCCTGGAAGGAATTTCTTCCTTTGGCTGTAGCCAACCTGCCATTATAAGTATTAACCTGACACTAATGGCAGGCATTTTAAAGATGATTTGTAAAGGATTTCTATGTTCCCCTAAAGGTATATTTGGTAACCAAATAAATCATAATATAATGCTATAATAAGAGCTGACATTTATATAATGCTCCAAGGTTTGCAAAGGTCTTTACAAACATTATTGAACCTATATGTTTGTACATAGAAACTCATTAGAACATTTCTTTAATATAATACCTCCAACTCCTTCCAGTAACATATAGCAACTGAATAGCTGAATTAGTACCAGTTTGGAGAAACCAAACCATTTTAAACATAAAGTTAAGCTAAAACATTACTGATTCTATTTGCGGTACCATTCTATCCTAATAATTTTCAAACAGACATTCATGACCTATCTTCTTGTCCCTTCTTTTATCCCATGATAGCAGCCAATAATGGGGATTTTTTTTTAACAGCACTTCTCTCTGAGGTCTTCCACTATACTTCCTAATATCAGTTTAAATTCAAATTACATTTTTGTCTTGAAGTTTTCCATGCACACAGATAAAACAAAACATTAAAATAGCCCAGAAAACACTGCATCTTGCAATATTCTATTGCTCTCAACTTCCCCTGCTCAGTTCCTTGTGTCACACAAACAGATTGGAAATGATAAAGATACTTTATCTTCCTCTACAACTTTTCTATTAAAATAAAAGGAAAAGAAAGAAAGTCTAGGTTTTAGAATAAGAGCTGCAGAACAGAAAATATCTTGGTATACACAGGCAGCACTTTTGGTCAAATTAAAAGCAATGCTTTTCAAGAGGATATTAAGGAAATATGGGGAAATGTAGCAGAAATTCAGGTCTCTGAAATCTGGAGATACTGCTCTGAGAGGAACTGCACTTCAGAAATAATAAATGAAGCCAAAAATATAACAGAGCAAATAGTTCATGGAACATTTCAGCTGAAGGTAAGCTTGCTTAGGCCCCTCCCTCACCCTGCCTCACCTCATCATTCTCTCTGGCTCCTCTCTTCTTCACTTCCTGTCCTTCTTTCTCTTTCTTCTTAACTCCTCCTCCTTCTTCTTTTCCTCCTCCTCACTGCTTAACTTCAAGCCTATTCCAGTTAGCTGGGCTGAATGTGACCCCCTAAAGCTGGCAGAGTGAGATTAGACCCAGTGGGGAGCTGTGCCAGTTTAATGAGTCCAAGGGGCATAAATGTCATTGTCCTAGCAGGCTCCCGCCAAGTATGCCAAGCCTCTGTGGGCCCTCAGTGACTTCCATTTGCATCCAGTCTCAGCCTCTGCCAATGGTAATAAAAAAGGGCCCTCTCAAAGGCACTGCTCTTTGTGTTTACACAAGGCAGTGTGCCTACTGAACTGACATTTCCCCTTTTTCCCTCAACAAGATTTTTAGCTGCTGAAACCTACCCATTCCAGCACCCCTTAAACTGATTTCTGTCTTCTTTTAATGTTCTATGCATAAAAAAAGTCCTGGGTTCCCATGGAGAGAGTATACGCCTCACTTTCAAACTACATATACCAACTGACACTCTTATTAGGGTGAGTTGACTTGCGCTGGAGTGAAAAATGACGAACAAGATTATCTGGTCAATTTAGACAGATTGTCAAAGTGGGTCATTGAAGCCCACCAAAAATATTCTCCAGAGTGGTTGTAAAACAAGTAGATAATTATTTTTCTCTGAAAGGTCAAATGAGCATCATTTTAACCCAGCTGTAATTGATGTTGTACAGTGTAGATTTTCCTAGTTCTTCCTCTCATCCTGATAATTATTTTCTTAGATAAGAGCTAATTAGCTATCTGTATTTTTATTTATATATATAATATCTATATATGTACATTATATGTATATATACACATACACACATACACACATATACACCATATATTTGTGTGTATGTATGTGTGTGTCCCAGTAACAAAGGTCTTGAAGTGTGACTGTCATGGATGATTTGATAACCCCATGAAGCTACTAAACTAAAAACAGACTAGTGGCTGATGTGCTCAGCAGGGAAGAATAGCTAACACATTTGTGAATCAGGGACCTATTTCTATCACTACTGGGAAGGATGACCATTTGTTTGTTTAAGTGTCGATGCAGTTCAGATATGCTTGTGAAATTCAAGCACATTTTAATGTAACATGTCTGCTGATGACTTCTATAAAGCTATCTGTTTGAATGAAAAATTATTAGCCTTGAATGAAGTGTAAATATGCCTCTAATACTTAAGTTGATGGATTGTTTTTCCCTTCCAAAGCCCTTAGCTACTCTTCAGCCCCATACAGATATGGTCACAACATGTAAGCAAAATTAAAGAAACACATTTTATATATAAAATTCACCAAAGATGAAAAATATTGAAATTCTGCTAAGAAAACTGAGTCACCATCTTGGGATATGTGAGCTGTTTTGGAGAGCTGATTTAGCATATGCAATACTTACTTATACCCTGTGTTCACTGTGGGGGCCTTGAATACACTGAAATATATAATGTTAATGTTATATGTCTGAGATGTTTGATTATACATACACAATGGGCTACATCTGTTGTGAGAGAGAAGATATATGAAGGTTATAGTGTGGAATTGGCACCCACTCCCTTAGAAGATGGAAGAAATGTTAAATGAATTTGAATGATTCAGATTGAAGAGGACTGGAGCCTGAATTAACTCTTCCTCTAATCCAACATATTTTGTTATTTAGAGGATGGTAAACAGCTTTTCTCTATCTCTCCTGAGGAAAGGAGAAGAAGTGTGCTTGGGCTACTGGTGAGATTGAGTTATCATACAAAGGGAAATTTTGGAACTGTTAGTATAATAAGTTGACTCCAGAGTAGATTACAAAGGTAAGTGGTAGACCAATCTTTGCTGATTATCCCTAAGCTCAGAATTAGCATCCCTCTATTTGGTACAATTTTAAATACTCTACTTTTATCTGTTATTGATTAGCTTTGTGGGTTAGAGCAAAATAGTGACAAAGATAAAGAGATTAAGGTTTGATGGGCCTAGGGACCCTAAGACCACAATGATCTTTTCAGTTGTTATTGTTGAGTCATTTTAGTTGTGCCTGACTCTTCGTGACCCCATTTGGGGTTTTCTTGGCAAAGATACTGGAATAGTTTGCCATTTCCTCCTCCAGCTCATTTTACAGATGAGGAATTAAGGCAAACAGGTTTAAGTAACTCGCCCAGGGTCCCACAGTTACAGACAAAATTTGAACTCAGGTCTTCCTGACTCCAGGTCCAACACTCTTATCTGTTATTCCACCTAGCTGCTCCTACAATGATCTTAGCCAGCTATATCTGTGCCCTGAATCATGACTGAGAGAATGGATGGATTACGTGCTAGTTTTATCTGGGAATGAGATAAAGAAAAATCAGATTATCCAGCCAAGCAGCTATAGGAAATCCATGTGGCCTAGTCACATGAAATTGAAGAAAGTGCCCAAGCCATAGCAGCTTCTTGTCAGTTTCCTCCTTACGCTTGGCTTTGAGGAGGTGTCCCATACTGTGGCCTTGCATTTCATACCTGGCACAGCCACAAGGGGTCAGACTTCTATATCTCTCAATGACAATGATACTACAGAATAAGGAGGGAAAATACATTTCTTTCCCTCAACTAACTTGGCAAGCATTTACTTAAGGGCCTACCATGTGCAAGACATTGTGTTAGTCACTGTGAATAAAACATAATCCTCACCATAGTTACAAATTACAATTTTTGGATATGTGGATCGTTGGTCAAGCCAACAACATAACTTTACCGTTTCTGGGAGGAATAGGAAATAGGCTTGAAATTTCATTGATATAGGGAACTCCCAGGTAAGGAGACTCTTTCCACTGATGCACATTGATACTTTCTATGCAATTTGTAATCTTAGAGAATTGCTTAGAGCATTGAGACATTAAGTAACTTGACCGGGGTTACATGGCCAGTAAGTGTCAGGGCTTAAAGTCAGGTCTTCTTATCTTCAAAGTCAGCTCTCTTCACTATAAGACGCTGCCTTTCTGGGGGCAAAAACAAATGCAAATACTAATTATCTAAAAAGACAAAAGTGAATGATTCTCTCTGGTGATATTTTATTTTTATTTTTAGTTACTGTACAATGGGTCTTGCTATGAATAATAGATCTTACTGATACTGACAATTTAAACATGTCCGTGTCTCATGGTTTTTGGAGTAGATTTGTCATGGAACCCTTTCCAGATCTCCAGATCTAGGACTGTGAGATTCTCTGTTCTTTCAGTTGCTTAGACCTACTAAATAATATGTGCAGTCATTCTAATTCATACACATGCATGCATACATACACACATGCATACATGCATATACACATACACACATGCATGCACACATACTGACACACACTGTATATGGATTTCACCACCACTTAAAGTGAACTTCCTGTCCCTTTCTTTTCCACAGGTTTACACTGATTTCTTATTGAGACATGTTTTCCCTATTAAGCTGCATCAATTCTTTCATTTGCAGTATCATTGTGTAAGGTCTTCAGGCTAACATGGTAACCTTGCAAATAGCTTTCTATTTTCCACTCACTTTATAGAATTTGGAGAAAGATCAAATGACATGACATAAAGGAAGTATTTTGTCATCAACAAGGATTATAGAAATGTCCATTTATCATCACTGCAGTCACCCAAATTAGTACCATCATTGCTCCTTCATTTGGCTTCAAAAGTTCATGTAGTCCCAGAACTGGAAGAGAATACAAGAAATCACCTTTTTTTTTTCAAAAATTCTTGTCTTAAGCAAAAGAAATTTCTCAGCCAGGATACAACCTGGGCCCTTCCACTTTTCTCATCTTCTTACACAATAGTGCTTTCCTTCAACTCTGGCCTCCAATCAGACTAAGCTAGTCACTCTCCCACACACATGGCATTCCATCTCCCATATTCTTGCTTTTGTACTGTCTGTCCTCCATGCCTGCTATATACTTCCTCCTCTCATCTGCCTGTTAAAACCTCTGGTTTCCTTCAAAACTCAGTTCAAGTGCCATCCTTTCCGTGAAGCCTTTCATGACCACCTATCCCGCTCCCTAGGCTAGTGACTAGTGAGGTGTCAGGAGAGCTGGAAATAAGTATTAATTGGTATAGTGTCAGGCATTATGCTAAGTGCTTTGCAAATATTACCTCATTTCATCCTCAACAACAATTCTGAGAGGTAGGTGCTAGTATTATCTTCACTTTATAGTTGAGGAAACTGAGGCAAACAGAAATTAAGTGATTTATTTGCCCAGGGTTATCCAGCTAGTAAGTGTCTCAGGCCAGATTTGAACTTAGATCTTCCTGACTCCAGGCTTAAAACATTAGTTGTCTCTATCCAAACCACTTTGTATTTACTTTGTATAAGTCTTAGTGTGTTTTTAAGCTTTAATAGCTTAATATTTTAATTGCTTAAAATTGCACTGAGAATTTTGGGACACCCTTTATGCTTACCTACATCATTAGAATATAAGTTCCTCGAGGGTAGGGCTATTTCACTTTTGTCTTTCTATCACTAATGCTTAACACAATATCTGGCACACCGCCAGCACTTAATGTTGGTCCATTGATTGATTCTATTCTGGGACATGTTTAGTGACAATTACCTTCTTTATTTAACTTCTTTGTGTAGCGTTTAATTATACCACTCATCAAGAAGTTCTTATGTAGAACCCACATCTCTCCAGCTACAATTTAAGCTGATTTTTTCTTGTTCAGTCTTCTGTGAACGCAGAACCAATTATGCATCTTCTTTAATGTACTTGTAGAAAATGTTTATTTTTTTTCTTCCCCTTGCCAAATCCTGGTTTATGATGACTCTTCTATCCGGGCCTTCCTCCATATTCTCCTACCCCCATCCTAAATGAGGCTCTTATCACCTCACAAGTGCATCACTGCTGTAGGCTCTTACTACTCACCCTTACCATAGTTTTCCCTCCACCAATCACAGTGCAATAGTTGATAGTTGATAGGTCAATGGTCCTAAAATTGTCTTCCATCATATCTCTTTTTTTCAATAAAAAA